GTTTACGTGCTTGTGGCTTCTCTGTGTGGTCTGACACTGTGGTTGTCAGAGTGGTCCAACATTTCTGTGTTCTCAAATAATAGTTTGTGTCCAGGTTGGTTCATCAAGTGCTCCGCTATAGCTGACTTCTCTGGCTGAATCAGTTTGCAGCACCTTTCCCGTTCTTTGATTAGTTCCCGGACATTCCACAGATATATGTATATACTCTCCATTTGTCTCACTTCTGGACCTCTGAGTATGCCAGCCACATATGCAGGCAAAAACATCAGGAGAGAACGCTACCAGTACATAGCCATACAGTCCGAAAAACTCACAGAAACTCAGTGATTCCAGCCGTGAAAGCTTCTTTTTCTTCTTATTATTCCAAAAGCTCTAGTGTTGGGTCAACGGGTAACTTGAAGACATATTCACACAGATATACTGTCTTCTTAAAATAAATATCCCTTTAAAACACCTTTAGACCAGGGCTTTTTAAAGGTTTTCCCACTCGTGACCCCTTTTCACCCAATAATTGTATATGACCCCACATATATAGCTATACAAAATGGATATTTATTTATTTATTTATTTACTTCGCTTATATACCGTAATTCTCAGCCTAATGGCGACTCATTGCGGTGTACAACATAGTAAAACAGGTGCAATACAAACATAGTGAAAAATAATCCGCAGTACATCATTATCAAAACATCTCATCAAAAACATCAACATTATTACAAAGCCATTCCGAGTCGTCTCATCGTCAAGTTCACAATCCGATACCATTTCTGTAGTTCCATTCCTAAGGTCAAGTTACCAGTCATTGCACTCCTATTCCAATGCCTTCTTAAACAGCTAGGTCTTTAGCTTCCTGCTGAATATCAACAGGGAGGGGGCTAGCCTGATGTCTACGGGAAGGGTGTTCCGCAGCCGAGGAGCCACCACCAAGAAGGCCCTATCTCTCGTCCCCGCCAGCCGTGCCTGTGACGCAGGCGGGATCGAGAGCAGGGCCTCCCCGGAAGATCTCAAAGTCCTCGTGGGCTCATAGGCCGAGAGGCGGTCAGTTAGGTATCTTGGGCCGGAACCGTTTAGGGCTTTATAGGCCAATGCCAGCACCTTGAATTGAGCCCGGTAGCAGATCGGCAGCCAGTGGAGCTGGTACAGCAGGGGAGTTGTATGCTCCCTGCGTCCCGCTCCTGTTAGTATCATGGCTGCCGCATGTTGGACCAGTTGGAGCTTCCGGGCCGTCTTCAAAGGCAACCCCACGTAGAGAGCGTTGCAGTAGTCTAAACGGGATGTAACCAGAGCGTGGACTACCGTGGCCAAGTCAGACTTCCCAAGTACGGGCGCAGCTGGCGCACAAGCTTTAGCTGTGCAAATGCTCCCCTGGTCACCGCCGAAACCTGGGTTCCAGGCTCAGCGATGATCCAGGATCACTCCCAAGCTGCGAACCTGCGCCTTCAAGGGGAGTGTACCCCATCCAGCACAGGCTGTAACCCTATACCCTGTTTGGCCTTGCGACTGACCAGGAGTACCTCTGTCTTGTCTGGATTCAATTTCAATTTGTTCGCCCTCATCCAGACCGTTACAGCGGCCAGGCACCGGTTCAGGACCTCGACAGCCTCCTTAGTATCACCGGTTCAGGACCTCGACAGCCTCCTTAGTATCAAACAGTGATAATAAACCAGTATTTGAAAGACTTGCTAAACACGCCCCCTTTTTTATGAAGTACAAATGAAGTATTTTCTGCAAAGTCCACTGTAAACACTTCATGTTGCTACTTACAGATTTCTGTGGCATTTGGAAACAACTGCCATTTTTGTACCCCATCATTGAGCTCAGGGGACCCCATTTGGGATCATGACCCACAGTTTAAGAAGCAGTGCTCTAGACCATGGTTTCTTAAACTTTTTCCACTTATGACCCTCTTTCCGCCAAATTTATTTTTATGTGACCCTTTGCATATAAAAATATAAAAGCTATAAAAATCAAACATTTTCTGAAAATAAATTGGCATTTGCAAAGTTTGCTAAACAGACTGATTTCCCTTTTTTATAGAGTACAGATTAAGCATTTTCTGCATGGTGTTACTACCAGATTTTACTGTAGCCAATTTGTTTCTGACTGCAACATTAAGCATAGGGGACACAATTTGTGGGTCGGGACCCTGTTTAAGAAGCAGTGCTATAGGCTGTTGATTTTACTTCAGCTGAAGAACTTACCCACCCCTTCTAGGACCCAGTATTTGTTTTGTTTTTTACCTTTTAGAAAAAGAGAATCATTCCGTACTTTTGAGGATCTACAATATTCTTGCACCAGCATAAAATTTAATCTCACAGTGACAAAATTCCAAGGCTAAGGCTGCATCTTACACTATCGAATTAGTGCAGTTTGTCATCACTTTAATAGCCATGGCTCCATTGAGTGATGGCAGTGAAAGTGGTGTCAAACCACATTACGGTTAGTCCCTGCCCATGAATGTCCAGCCCAGTTTACTGATAAGGTTGTACCCAGCATTTTGGCTCCCACCCTGGCCCCTCAGTCTGGGGTTTTTTTTTTTTTTTTTTTGGTTTTTTTTGGCACATATCCATTCCCCCCCTCCCCCAGTTTGATCATATCCATTATACTGGTCACTGGTTGCTGAGTTGATTTGATATTGTTTAAACACTGTTTTATACCTTGTTGTTTAAATTATGTTATAATTGACTGCCATATGTTATTATTTTTTAAATTGTGTTTTATTTTTTGTTTGTGTCAACAAATTTTGTTGTACGTTTTGGGCCTGGTCCTGCTTGTAAGCTGCCCCGAGTCCCTTCCAGGAGATGCTGGTGGGGTATAAAAAATAAAGTTGTTGTTGAGTGGAGTGAGTGGAGTGGAGTGAAATAACAGGAAGTGAGAGAAATTGACCACTTGATGTTAGAAATAACAACCTTCATCAAGCCTTCTCTAGCAATCTGTCTATTATCTTGTTGCTTGCTATTTCCTATGTGTATGTTCTGGTGTGTACCTTCCTTTACTCTTTTTTTTTTTAAGTAATGTTTTTTTATTGTAAACAAAGGTAGAATAATATCAAAATCAGTCACCCTTTCAAAATACATACAGAACGTTGTTCTCTTAACATCCTTAACAGCAGGGGAATTCCAGACAAGAATCAATAAGAGCCAGTTAACACCTCCAACAAAGGATCGCCCCAGGCAGCAACCAGCCAGGCCTTGAAGCTGCAAGGCCATTAAAAACTAATCAAGGTGGCCAATTGCAACATTCACACCTGCCTCAAGTAGACAGGAGTTCTTTTTCCCAACCTGACTTGCCTAGTTTCCAAAAGACCCCTCAACCTGTGAGGATGCCTGCCATAGATGTGGCCAAAATGTCAGGAGAAAATGCTTCTGGAACATGGTCATACAGCCCAAAAAACTCACAGCATCCCATTCTTAACATTCCCAGTTCCACCTTTATCTCCCACTTGTGTCTATCAATATTACTTCCCTCCCTCCCATCCTCCGGTAACAATACATTCCTTTATTCAGATAGCATTAAAAATAGTCAATTGTGGCGAGATAATGGTTTGGTTCCTTTTTCTATCAATCTTCCCCATTTTAGATCCCAGTTCTTCTTAATTCAGCCTGGTATTTGGTTCTCCTTTCAAGAATGTAACCGTGGAGTGTGAAGTTTGCTAGATATTCAAACCATTTTTTTAACTGTATTGCCGAAGGCTTTCATGGCCGGAATCACTGGGTTGTTGTAGGTTTTTTCGGGCTATATGGCCATGGTCTAGAGGCATTCTCTCCTGACGTTTCGCCTGCATCTATGGCAAGCATCCTCAGAGGTAGTGAGGTCTGTTGGAACTAGGGAAAAGGGTTTATATATCTGTGGAATGACCAGGGTGGGACAAAGGACTCTTGTCTGTTGGAGCTAGGTGTGAATGTTTCAACTGACCACCTTGATTAGCATTTGATGGCCTGGCAGCAGGCCTGTAGCCAAGATTTTGGTTTTTTTTTGGGGGGGGGGGGCTGAGTTTGTTTCAGGGGGGCTGAGTCTGAGTGAAAGAGGGTCTGCCCTAGCAAATCTTTTGTATCGTTACCCCAATACCCCCATGCATATGGGATATATTGAGCATGGTGATCAGATCATGATATGATTAAACTTAACAGTTTAAATAATGTACTAGTAAGGCCTTCTCATGGACCACCATGAGAATTTCAGGGGGGGGGGCAGAAGCCCCCCAAGACCCCCCCCCCCCCCCCCTGCCTGGCACTGCCTGGGGCAATTTTTTGATGTGCCTGATTGTTTCCCCTCTGTTGTTTTGCTGTTGTAATTTTAGAGTTTTTTAATACTGGTAGCTAGATTTTGGTCATTTTCATGGTTTCCTCCTTTCTGTTTTTTTTTTAACTTCCCACTTTCTATGCTCTTCCAACCCAAGGCCACAGTTGCTTGGGCAGAGACCAGCTTCCTTTACTTGGTGGTTTTCTGAGAAGTGATTAAAGGGACTGCAGACCACCTGTTCTCTCTCTCTCTCTCCATTTGACTATGTGACCTGTTGGTAGCTGGAGATGGCAGACCTCAAAGATATTTCAAACTGGACTAATGAGTTTTGTACCTGTGTATGGTGAATACCTGTGTATGGTGAATACCTGTGTATGGTGAATACATGAAAGTTGTGAGTAAAACAAATATGTTACTTCGATCAAAGTCTACTTAATCTTCTCAAACACCTGTATATCTATCAACATGGGCAAAGTTGGGCCCTCCAAAGTTGGGCCCTCCAGGTGTTTTGGACTCCAACTCCCATCATTCCTAACAGCCTCAGGCCCTTTCCTTTTCCCCCTCAGCCGCCAAACCTGGAGGGCCCAACTTTGCCCATGCCTGGTACTGAGATATATATATATATACCAGGCTCCCCCCCACCCGCCCCACTCCCCTACCCTTCGAAGAAGCGCCTTTCCCTCAGACGGCCGTTTACCTCAACCTTCTAACGGCCCCAACTCGAGGAAAACCTTCCCTCAGGAAGGACAAGTTCTCACCTCTTTTCAGGGCACGCTCCCCGCCGGCCTCATTGATTAAGGAAGCGTCTTATCCCAGCTTCGACCAACAAAAGTAGACAAGAGAGAAAGAAAGGCTGAGGGAGCACAAGAGAGAGCGAGCGAGCGACTGACTGACTGACTGCGCTGACTGGCAGGATGCCTACACCGCTTTCTGAGTGGCTGTCCCGAGCAGCCAATGGCGACGGCGCAACCGTTCCAGCCGCCAATGGGCGCTCGGTGAAGGGGCGGGGACGCCAACAAAGTCCCGCCTCCTTCTCCTCCCTTGTTCTTTTTTTGCGGAGAGGGGGCGTGGCGAGAGTTAACAGGCGCGTGGCCGGGGATAATGCCGGAGGGGGCGGGGTTTTCGCTTTGTGTCGTCACTCCTTTGATTGACAGCGGCGAGTACAATGGGGCTCTGCGAGGGTTCAAGGGAGGTGAAGGTCTTCGGCTGCTTTGTCCGCTTTGGGTCATTTAAGCACCCTTTTCCCATCCAGAGCTCTTCCACACAGCCCTAGATCCCAGAATATCAAGGCAGAAAATCCCACAATATCTGCTTTGAACTGAGTTATCTGAGTCCACACTGTCATATATGTGTAATATTATAATGTAATGCAATGTAATACTAATAATAATAGTGGGTTGTTGTAGGTTTTTCCAGGCTATATGGCCATGTTCTAGAGGCATTTTCTCCTGACGTTTCGCCTGCATCTGTGGCAAGCATCCTCAGAGGTAGTGAGGTCTGTTGGAAGTAGGAAAAATGGGTTTATATATCTGTGGAATGACCAGGGTGAGACAAAGGACTTTTGTCTGCTGCAGCTAGGTGTGAATGTTTCAACTGATCACCTTGACTAGCATTTAATGGCTTGATTAGCATTTAATGGCTTGGAGTTTCAGAAAAAAAACATCTATTTCTGGTTTATTAACTGTTCTAAAGCCTTTGACTGTGTGGATCATAATAAATTGTGGCAAGTTCTTGGTGGTATGGGGATACCAAATCACCTTGTCTGTCTCCTGAGGAATCTGTACAAGGACCAAGTAGCAACAGTAAGAACTGACCATGGAACAACAGACTGTTTCAAGATTAGGAAAGGAGTATGGCAAGGCTGTATACTGTCACCCAACCTATTCAACTTGTATGCAGAACACATCATGCGATGTGCGGAGCTTGACAAATGCAAGGCTGGGGTGAAAATTGCTGGAAGAAACATTAACAACCTTAGATATGCAGATGACACCACTTTGATGGCCGAAAGCGAGGAGGAGCTGAGGAGCCTTCTAATCATGGTGAAAGAAGAAAGCGCAAAAGCTGGGTTACAGTTAAACATAAAACAAAACCAAGATTATGACAACAAGAATGATTGACAACTGGGAAATAGAGGGAGAAAACGTGGAGGCTATGGCAGACTTTGTATTTCAAGGAACGAAGATGACTGTAGACAAGACTGAAATCAGGAAATCAAAAGATGTTTACTTCTTGGGAAGTAAATAGTGAAGAGTAGAGACATCACACTGGCAACAAAGATCCGCATAGTTAAAGCAATGGTATTCCCCATAGTCACCTACGGATGTGAGAGCTGGACCATAGGGAAGGCTGAGCAAAGGAAAATAGATGCTATTGAACTGGAGGTGCTGGAGGAAAGTTCTGAGAGTGCCTTGGACAGCGAGAAGATCCAACCAGTCCATACTTCTGGAAATAAAGCCCAACTGTTCGTTGGAAGGAAGAATAGTTGAGGCAAAGATGAAGTACTTTGGCCACATCATGAGAAGAAAGGAAAGCTTAGAGAAGACAATGATGCTGGGGGAAATGGAAGGAAAAAGGAAGAGGGGGCAACCAAGGGCAAGATGGATGGATGGGATCCTTGAAGTGACTGGATTGACCTTGAAGGAGCTGGGGGTGGTGACGACCGACAGGGAGCTCTGGCGTGGGCTGGTCCCATCCATCATGAAGTGTCGGAAATGACTTAGTGAATTAACAACAAATTGTACTATGCTAATAATATAATGTATTGTGTATATATATATCTTGTAAGCCACTCTCAGTCCCCTTCGGGGTGAGAAGGGCAGCATATAAATGTCGTAAATAAATAAATATATTTATATTATAATGGAATGGAACATAATACTAATAATTATAATATTATAATATGATAAATGGCAGTGTAGACTCAGATACACCAGTTTAAAGCACATCTGGGATTTTCTCCCTTGATATTCTGGGTTATATAGCTGTGTGGAAGAGCCCGAGGGTGCATCTAAAGTAAACATGGCTGAGGGAGAAAGATTGCTGGGGGAGGCAGTTTTTGGAGTGATGAGGTTATTCAGTACATATATGATGCTCAGAGTGTGGTGGAGTATCCTTCTCTGGAGGTTTTTAAACAGAGCCTGGATGGCCATCTGTCAGAGGGTTTTGATTCTGTGTTCCTGTATGGCAGAGGGTTGAATTGGGTGGCCCTTGGGGTCTCTTCCAACTCTAGATTCTATTATTCTATTCTGCCCAACCATACTAAGTTTTAAATAATAAGTAACAAGAAATCATTGCCACCTCACTTGGGTTATGCTGATTATGTTACACATGATCCAAAGAGAGGCCAATTTTCCAGTGACCTACTTACTATGTCTATGGATAAGGTTCTCCAGATGTTATTGAATTGTCTCTCATACAAACTCCCACATGCAGCATATTACAACATCATATATTACTAGGCCGTAATATGCGCTGAATCTGATCCAGGCCCTTCCTAAACTAGGATAAGAGATGACTTAGCAATACTTTGCATGCTCTGAACTTCATGTTGAAACAACAGCATACAAAAGATAAAGTAAATAATCTGCACTCTGGTGCTTTGACTGCTTTGGAAAATACGTCTCTCTTTTTTCCTGAATTTCTATTCCCATCCTTTGACCAAGACTCAAATCTTGCTGGAACATTGTATCTAAACATCTCTGGGTTAAGGCAGCAATTGTATTATTATTATTTTTAACATACTTGCTTAAAGGGAGATTCTGTATCCTGTTATTCAAACCGATTCCCCCATTTGCCTGAAACACAACAGCATGGCATAGAGGCTGGTGTGCCATGGTCTGCCATGGAACAGTTACTGGAATGCCTGGAATGGGCACTGGCTCCTTGCCTGGTGTGACTGCAGGGCTTTACACTCCAGTAGCCATTGGGCAGGAGCTTAGCCTCAAATCTACAAAGCTGCTTACAAAACTAATAAGTTGTCAAAATTCATTGCAGAGTAAGTGGACCTGTCATAAAACAATAGCAACACATCGGAAGGAATCTTTCTTCATTGAAAAGTTGTTTTAATAAACTTTTAGTTTTGCTACTCAAAACCTTTAAAAAAAAACAAAATTCACAAATGACAATCTAACAAGCAGCAGAGGTGTGGGTGATACAGTTCCAGGGCTCAATGCTATGGAATCATGAGATTTGTAGTTGTACAAGGTTTATAGCCCTTTCTGCCTAAGAAAGCTGGTGCCTCATCAAACTGCAAATCTCAGGGTTCCATATTATTGAGCTACGACAGTTGGTGTAAAACTGCATTAATTCTGTAGGGCAGATACTCTGTTAGAGAAACTTAAATACTAAACTGTTGTAAGTTCTCCGCTTCTCTTGGGGGTTTATGGATAAAAGGCCCCAATGAAAATGGAAAAACCACAAATTGCAAAAACACCTCTCTTTTTTGCCCGAGAGAGCACTTCTATAGGAATCTTTAGGTCATACAATGGTAGACCCCTTCCACACAGCCTTATATCCCAGAATATCAAGGCAGGAAATCACACAATATCTGCTTTGAACAGGATTATCAGAGTCCACACTCAGATAATGTGGGATTTTCCCCCTTGGTATTCTAGGATATAAGGCTGTGTGGAAGGGATGGAAGAGACCACATGGACCATCTAGTCCAACCCCCTGCCATCCAGGAAAAGTACAATCAAAGGTCTTCCATCATATATCTGTTGCCAGCTTCCACCAATCACACTGGAGGTCCAATAAATGCCTGCAGAAGTAGTTGACAGTGAGTCTCACCAAAGGATCTAGAAAATCCTATTAATCAAATCTGCAAATAATCAAACCTACAAAAATTGAAGGTGGAGGGTTCACTGCATAGCCATTTCTACTAAGCTTCATAGCATTATGCAAAAAGTGTATTATTCTAAGAGTTTATTGTGGTAATCATTTTTATTTAGAGGTCCCTCATCATCCAAAGACTGAAACTATGCAGCAGTGAGAGCCAACAAAAGCAGAACATAGATGTTCTAACTTGTGTAGAGATATGTGACCAGTTTTCTGGACAGTTTTTTTTTTCTTCCCCCATCCCCAATGTGTGACATGTGACGCAGTGGCCACTAGAGTGTTGGATTCGAGCTGGGGAAACCCAGGCCCCTTTCACATAGCTGAATAACATTTTCTGCTTTGAATTGGTATATATGGCAGTGCAGACTCAGATAACCCACTTCAAAGCAGATATTATGGGATTTCCGCCTTCATATTCTGGTGGCCCTTCAACACAGCCATATAAACCAGAATAAAATCCAACAATATCTGCTTTGAACTGGTTTATCTGAGTCCACACTGTCATATATTCCAGTTCAGAGCAGATAATGAGGGATTTTATTCAGCTGTGTGGAAGGGCCCCCAGGCTCTAATCTACACTCAGATGTCCCCCTCAAATAGATCAGCTTTGGCCAAGCAGTCACTTTGAGTCTCTTTGTGGAGAGAAAAAGCAGACTATAAATAAACATCATAATCATCATCTCCTTGTACAAATTCTCTCACAAAGTGTGAGGACAAACAGAGAGGTGTTTACCAGTTATGCTATCCTTGAATTATTTGGAAGAAAGGTAAAACTTAAATGTAATTTAATTCAACTGGACAGTTATTTGACTGCTGTAATACACACTAAGGGCCCTTGAGAGGAATGACAGAGAAAAATTTAAATTGACAGTAATCTGGAAATGTCAGAGGAAGTAGATCACCTGGAAATATAAGGAGTATCCAAGCATTAATCAAAAGAAATGACAGGACACACAATACATGTAAGGCTTAACTTATGTCTTCTTCTTTCTTCTTCATCTTCTTATTCTCCAAGTGTAGTGTCTTGGCAGTGGGTCCATAGGTGGCTGTGGAGCCCTATTCTTGATCCTCATGTTCTCCTGCAGTGAGGACATCCATT